CTTGTCATATCACATACATGGCAAGAAATTATGTGATTTCTCTTCTTCAGTTCCCTTACTTGCTCCTACCATAACTTTCATTGCTATTTTACCAAAATCTGCAATGACAATTTTAGCCCATAGGTAATTGTTTTCGATAAATATTGGCCTAGCATCTTAAGTTCTTTAGAGGAATGTTGTTCTAGGTTACCAAGTGAGCAGCAAAGAGAGACGATAACGAGGTGTCAAAGATCAAAGGACAGACACTGTTCAAACTGATTTTGAAAAAATGGATAAGAACATACAGATCCATATATATTTCATAGTATAAATATATATTAGAATTTCTATATTATAAATATATGTATATTAAATTTTATTGTAAAATATGTGTTTTTTAACATAGAGACGTCAAAACTGTGTCTGCTAGTCACTTTGCTTTTAATTCTTCAGTGGCATTGTCACCAAGTGCTGCATATATGAGATCATGGATTTTATATATTAGAAGGGTCAGTTTATACTTTTTGCTTGTTTTGTTTTATTTTTTTGTTTTTCTTTGGGGAGGTAATTAGGTTTATTTATTTATTTATTTTTTCTAATGGAGGTAGTGGGGGTCGAACCTAGGACCTTGTGTATGCTAAGCACACATTCTACCACTGGGTTATACTCTCCCCATCCCAACACTCTTTAAATAAGCTCCCACATTTTTTCCTGAACAAAAATGGTTCAGAAGGAAAAAAAAAGTCTAGTAGGTTTATCTTTTACATCAAATTTTGATTTACTTTTGACATGTAGTTTGGATTTAATATCTACTTCTGGTTTGTTAGTATCAAACAGAAGGGGAAATATTAAAGATTTCACCATATCTATGGAAAAGTATCAAATGAAAAATATATTCCAGTGTTAAACCATCTTGTGTCACTGTCAAGCACATAGGCAAAAAAAGCAAATGTGAAAATTATTCACAGAAACTGACATTAGTCTTGCAAAAGAAGTTCCTGGATTTTCTGTTTTGTTTTTTTCCCCAAACAAATGCTGTGGCAGAAATGGGTGCAATGTGTCACTGTGTCCTTGTATTTCATGATGTTATCTCATCTGAACTTCTTTTTTATTATTTTATTTTATTACTAGAAAGTCAGTTCATGAAGGCTGTTATCTGTTTTCTAAAATTTAGGAGCTTCATATTCTGGATTTTCTTTATCTATTGTAATTATTAAGATGATGATGTCAATTTTAAAAAATTTAAGAAACATTCCGTGTACCAGTAGCCCCTAACAATGAAATATAGTCATACAAAAGTTAACTAAGGTATAAACATGCAAAAGGAGAAGTCTCCCTGCGATCATAAAATGATGTTATTTTCTGTTCAGCAGTTCATGTTACTGCTGTTCATGCTAATTAATTAAAGGAGCTGTTGCTGTAATGTGCAAACAGGGAATCTGAGAAACTGAGAGGGCTTTTAGGTCTCCAAGTGAAGTTAAGTCAATCTGGGCGCGGGCAATCAAATGTAATGAAATCACTTGTCAGTGCTAAGCTTGCAAAAACTGTGAAGTTTGACTAGGGAGTAAAAGGATTATAATTAGATTTCCAATAGGATAATAACTAAATGGCAGAACGTAGTAAAGAGAAAATATTACTTTGTTAGCTAATGGTACTGCTGTTCGGTTTTAGTTTTTATCAGTGCACTTGTAGTTGTGCTAATTTAATTTGCTTTTATCAGCAAAAATGCACTACGCAAATGGTACTTGAATGTCATTTGAAAAAATCATTGATCTGAAGGTACACTTAATGACACCCAGTATGTTTATTTTATGTGAAATGGAGATTGGTTGATAAGATGGTTGCTGTCTTCCAGGCCCCCAACTGAGTTATGGGAATCTGGGTGGGAGGATATTAGTGTATATCCTTCACCTCCAGCAACAGTGGATACAGCTATCACAGTGAGTGTTTATTCATTTTTTGATCACCTAATAATATTCAGAAGGAGCTGCTATCATAGACTGCTAAAATGAAAGGGATACAGAAATACTTTTATCAGAATGTGGTCTATGCATGACACCCTGTCTGTCAAACAACATCATTCAAAGAATAAGACATGAAATAACTAAGCTGAAGAGATTTAGTGTATATAAATATATATAAGAATCCTAGTACATGGGCAGTTTGTCTATACTAAGAGCCATGTGGAAATTATCATAAAACTATATATGACTTTATTACTTCTAATGATGGCCAAGCAACATTCTTCTAAGTCCTCCTTAAATTCTCTTAAGGAAATGTCACAGTGGAACTAATTGAATTTCAAAGAAAGAACACTAAGTGAATGATAGATTTCCATCCAGCAGAGCTATTGACAATAGGTAAAGACTTCACTGATGGTGGAATTGTTTGTTGTGATGAAGATCAGTTTTGGAAATGGCATTGGCTTGGCATGCATGAACTGACCCTCATAAACAATGCTAGGAAATAATCTTCCAAGTTAACAAATGTATAATTGAAGGAAGTGGAAAAGATGAAAACAGTATCAAAATAAGTCACAAAAGTAAAGAACAATAATACATGAAAGCAAAATTATTAGGCAGAATGGGAAAATAATGGTTAAGCTTGAATTTTATGTTTTCCAAGCATTGTACATTTTCTCAAGTTCATGGATACATATAAATGTAATCTTTCAATTCTGAATATCTTAAATAAAAAGTAATATTATTGGTTTTTTTGGTAATTATTTGAATTGATTGATTTGGTGAACTGTATTTAAGATTAGTTCTGATAATATTTTCAGATACCTATTCCCTTGGCTAAAAGAATAAATCAGTTTTGCTCATGAAATAATTTCTTTTTGATATTAAATTGTGATTGTACTTTTATACTGACACAACTCATTCACTCTAGTTTTCTATGAATTAATGATAGGAATTGTATTATTTACCTTGCTTAAATGCCATGATAAATGTAGGTGAGAATGTGTACTTTTTTATTTTTGCCACATTTATCAAGAACACTATTTAATATAACCTAAAAGACAATCAATACGAATTTTTAACTCACCATGTTTTACCATTATTGAAGATATTAACCACAAATGCTAGACAATTTGATATAAAATTTGAAAAAAATATAAAAGTTAATCTTGCTTTAACTATGTTCCATCTTAATCCTTTTAAAGGTGCATCTAACTCTCTCATGTTTAGCTAGCTAAAGACAGGAGAGCTTATTAAATGTATGCTCAGTGAAAACAAATATTAAATGTGGCCTCACCTAATCACAAATTAATATGCAAAAGTCATTCTTTGCAGACTTCATTAAAATAAAAAAATGGGGACTAAATAGAGAATGAATCTACCTTTTACTTATATCATGTAACTGACCTCCCACAAATAAGTTATCTGTTGTTTGTTGCATGGAAATGAACTAACTTTAGGACAGATTAAAAGTTTGTTATCTATCTCAAAGTTGGGAATGATGTTACGACTGTGAACTAAAGGCATTATATCAATTAAACAAACAGTAATGAATTGATAGTATAGGATTAAAGGATAATAAAGATACAGACCCACTGATGGCATGTTTGCTTTACTTCCTCCAGTTCAAAAGCTGGACCTTAACATCCCATTCAAAGGAGGGCCCAATCAAGCTCAATGATCCTAAAAGCTTGGATCTGTATTTGTATGTCACAGATTCAAAAGGGATCAAATGCTTCAGGCTTGTTCAACCCTACCTTGGCCCTGATATGTGGTGGCAACCTCAACTAGTGGTGGCCATAACTAGTGAGGCTGTATTTATCAATTTCACTGTGGCGAATTGATTGGATAAACGCTGAGTTCCGTCCAAAATGTCTTTGCTCACACAGACAGAGTCTTTAAGTTGAGGGAAGAAAGCAGGAAAGCAAAAGAGGGATAAGAAACAGCAAAAGCTTCTCTGAATGAGCTAAATATGCATGCTTTCACACCTAGTGAAGTTAATGCATTAGTTAGGTCTACCCAGCTGCAGCAGAATCAAGCATTACCAGAAGACCCATGATCTCTGACACTCCTGGTTTTGTAGAGATGATGTGCAAAACTACATGAATGAGGGTTTCTAAATTTTCTGAAGCTGCCACATGAAGGCATGAGCCACTGATGAACCCACGTGGATCTTTTGCTCACATCCAATTCTGTTGCCTTCACGTAGATCCAGTCATTACACAGTAGAAAGGCACTGATTAGTTAGTTACACTTTCGGCAGTAACCTATCTATGGCTGTTTTTAAAAGTAAGGAAACTGTTATCTCATGAAGATGCTTTTACTTTTTTATTAGAGTGAGACATGAATGTGAAAACAAATATTATCTGCATACAGAGGCTGGAAAAATGGCATTAGAAACACACTGAAAAACTCCAGTAGTCAAATTCAATTTTTATTTTTAGGTGTGTTTGCACTCTAGTAGGATTTTATATTAATTTGTTTTATCTATTTTCTTACTACTAAACATTTTTTAAAATATTTTAAAGCTCTAAGCAGTTATGAGAATCCTGCAAATTGTGAATCATAAGTCCTGCTCTTACTTTCACATTGAGCTGGTTTCTAGAACCATCTAAAATTAAAATCAGAATTTAAATGCTAATTTTTAAAAAAGCCTGCCTAGAACACTTTGCAAATATTGATAGGCTATGATTATTTTACCTGTGGCTTTTACAAACAGTAACGTAGTGAGATTTAAAACACATTCTATTGTACCCTTCTGAAAGGTAAATCATATCCCCAGTTTTGCATTTTTAGAATATGCCTAACATAAATGTACATCCTTTTAACAGAGAAACATATGAGACATTTGCTCACATTGTATATGTAAAATTATTAGTCCTTAAATACATAGTTCCCCAAAACACTGCAGATTTCTTCCTCTGTCATGAAGTAAGAAAAATTAAACTTCCTTATTTTACCTATATGAAAAGTATCAACATAGGAGCTCATCCCCATCCCACCCCCAGGGGTCAGTCACATATTAAGCAGTTATAGAGAAAAGCACACTGTTTACTATACCTTGCATAGCAGTACTATCATGAGGAGTCCCATTGCTTTCTACTTCAATATCTGGAATCCCAGTGTCTGAAAGAAGTGACATTCAAGATTAAGGTACAATTCTGTTTTTCCTGATTCCATTTTAAGTGAAAACTCTCAGTAAGCCAGTGCTTTGGTCCTAGAGATAACAGGAGACCTTGGGTGGCACTTCAGGTTTTGTTTTTTGTATGTCTATATGTTCTTAATGGTAGGAGGGAGGATTATAAACCGTGGCTGAATTCTACAGTTGGTCATATATTTTCAGGTATATGGTAAATACTGCTTTATTTATTTTATTCTCCAGGGATAGATATCAGGAAAACGATCTGTCCATAAAAATCCCCTCAGATCATCAGGTAACATGCCCTGACTGTGGAATAAGAAAAAGGTGAATATAATTGCGTAAGTAGAAGTGCCACATCCTTATGTTATATTTTCCATTTTTAAAATGTGATAGATGATGAGATTATCTCAATGCTAAGCATACGTGAACACCAAAACACAGATTATGTCTGTGGTCTTTATGTAGTACTGGCCCCGGGGGCCAAGGGATACATGAATTGTTTCAGAAAATTAAAAAAAAACTTCAGAAAAAGAAACAAGGAGTTGGGGTTTTATTTTTAATTTTAAATATGAAATGTGATTATGTAAAAGTTATTCACCCACATGAAGCACAGCTTAATATGGACACCTCTGTATATACACATTTGCTCAGACACCCTTGGGTAATGTAATAACAGACATCAGTGTATCATCCAATGCCATTAAGGAGTAATGTGAGAAGGAAATGGTTTGAATACAAGTTACCCATCATGCTAGAAACAGCTGCTTTTCTTTTATAATAGAGAACAGGGAGCTGGAGTGGAATTCACATACAGGTGGATTTCAAATATGTTAAATAAAAAGTTAAACCTCCTTGGAATTACAAGTTCAGGGCCTCAAATAATAAGCATGCACATGGTTGACTCCCACTGTCTAAGATGTTCCACTGTATACGATATTCATGTCTTATTTTTTACCTTCTCTCTGCTGTGTCTCAATGACACATGACTGTCAAGAGCTAAGAATCTAGCTCTGTATTTCTATTGATTGTGAGGACAATGATCCAAGATAATCACAGTAAAAAGGGAATTGAACTTTTGGAAAAGTACGAATACGGTTGAATATTTGTGTAGGACCTTTATTTATTCTTAGTATAGGACACTGAAGCAACCTCCTTTTAGTTCATGTGTGTGTCATATGTGTACATGGAGTATGTGTACATGTGTGTATAAAATTCTCAGGCTCATCCTTGTCATACACTCATATCTGTTAAATATACCAGTGGTTAATGGGCAAGGAAAGAACTTGAAATGCTCTCTGAGATGAAATCATGTTGTGGGGTTTCATAATTTAAAATGGAATCAGAAAAAGTTTGGAATTAAGAAATTTCATGATGGAAGCACCTCTTCTCACAGGAGCTCCAGGAATTTAGTTAGAATATTTTTTTTCAACCATGTGCTCTTTAAGCTCTCAGCATTGATGCAATCTGTGTTTAAGGAACAAGCATCCTAAAGCTCATTAAAATAGAGTACACCAAACATCAGCATATTTTAACATGAATGGACATAAAATATTTACATTTTATTTGCAGGGAGGTTATCAATATTACTGCTTCTACTGCAAAAGTCAGCAGGATTTCCTGTTATTCCCAGGCTTTTTGTATCTCCCAGAACAGGGATTATTTGACAGATTTAATTAATGACCTAAAACACTTGGCCTCAAATTGATTTTTTAATTATTTCTGGACAAAGTATCTCCTCTCCTTCTGTCATTCCTTCCTTCCTTCCTTCCCTCCTTCTTCCCACTCTCTCTCTCTCTCTTTGCTTTGTGTGCCTTGAGTGTGAAGGTCCAAATCAGACGTTACCTTTTAACATCCTCAGTCCACTGTCAGTAGTAGTGGCTTGCTTAAGTGCTTGCTCCACTTGCTCTCTGCGCTTTGATTCAAACTCCAAGGCTTCTTGTAGTTTCCTCTTTGCTTTTTTCTCCTTCTTCAGGCGTTTTTGCATGGTAGCTAAAATGTGTAAAAGGAAGTAGTTTGCAAAGGCGTGGCCATGGAAATAAGGTTGCCATTTTGATGAATTATAAACCATACATACAGATTCAGAGAGAGGTACAGATGTATGAGTCAACATATGATTAGCTTCTTTTGATTCCAATTGTCAGTAGACCCAACCAAAGAGTTTTCAGTCATACAACTGACTTTTTGCTTTCACCTCTCCAGTGAGCATGCTCTAATTACGTGCATTTGCACAGTGGTGGTAGTAGTGGCGGAAAATTGTTTCCTACTTTGACTTCATAAACTTAATGAGTGCATGAAATATTTTAAGAAAAATATTCTTATGACTCACCAGGTTATTGCTATTCATATTTCAAAATATGGAAAAAAATCTGAAAATATTTATTAAGTTGCAACAAATGATATGCCTTTTAAAACTTAGTGTCAAGGGTCTAATTCTCTGAGATGTTACCAGTTTTAATGGCAAATATCTCTTTAAATATATGCACATATCATCAGACTCTCTCTCTCCATATATCTATATCTATACATTTTAAAGAAAATAACTTTCAGCAATGATTTTATTAATCAACCTGTAAAAGCACAACAGCATTTCTCTCATTTCTATGACGAGGTATAAACAACTGTAACTCAATTCTCAAGGCTTTATATCATAACTAGAAACTTCAATTGCCCTAATGTACGATTGTTTCTAAACCCTGAAACCTTGAAATCAGTGACAATTTCTCAAATAGGATTACTGGGCTTCAGTAATATATTGGTTTATAACAGGGGTCTAAGCAGACCAGCCATCATATTCTCCCTAAATTGGTTTTTAAAAATTAAGATATTGATATTATGACAATAGAAAAATATTTAAGGAACATTAAGCAAAATTATAAATTATATAATATTTTTAAATGTTAAAAGTATTCATATATAATTAAAATATTTTGATTGCACTAAACTGAATCTGATGCTAAATTTGAGTTTCAGTTGTGTTTATCTCACAGTTCAATGACTTTTCACATAAATGACCTTCAGCAACTTGAAGAGACTCAGTTACCCATCTAAATTTATGTTTGTTTAAGACAAAAATTCAGAGGTGTAAGGTAATAACAAGATGGAAATCTTGGAATAAAAATGAAAATGTATGGTTTCTTTTATTTTTGATACAAGACTATTAGATGAGATTGAACATAAAAATATTTTACTATCATAATTATATTTAATTATCATCATTCAATTTAAAGCATTTAGAAAATTACTTAAATCAGAAGCATAGATTTATTCAAATTAATGAATAACAATGTCCTTGATAAGACAAAAATTTGCTTCCAGTAAAATTATTTATTTAAAAGTATTCTATATGTTGATTCCCTTGAAATTTATGATTCCATATATTGTAAACAATGCCACAGCATATTACATTTACAATTATATAAGTAAATAATAATAACTATAATTTATTTAGGACCTACCATGTACCAAACATTTTTCTGGGACTATATCTCGTTTAAGCCTTACAGCAACTCAACAAGAAAGATATTGTTATCTCCATTTTATAGATGGAGAAACTGACTCCTTGAGAGGTCAAGACATTTACTCAAGATCACAGAACTAGCAGTTTTCATAGGCTGAGGGCTAAAGATCATATAGGTAATTGTTTCAAAGCCTGGGGACCATATAGTTAGTCAAGGACAAAGACAGATGACCCCCAAGTTCTCTTGTAGTTCTATCATTCTATGATTCTAATTGTTTAATTTGCAAAGAACAGTATAATGTACATATATGAATGTTTAATTCAAGTCACATGTTCTGACTAGAAACAAAAATGTAGTTAGGTGGAATATTTAAGTATGAAACATTGCTTTCTTTAACTGAAAAGAAAAGATATTCATAGTGATTCTCACTATAAATATAGTTTTACAAGTGTTTTTTATATATGTATATATAGTATTACTATTTTTCTCTAGAGTTGAGGAGACACTACTTTTTAACCATAATATTAATTTCTTCCCTCTTTCTTTTCAATCATATGACTTCAGATAAAGAATTCACCCTTTGTCATAAAAGTTGGATTACTGCGTATAAGATATTTAGAGAACTAGAAAGGAATTTAAGTGATCACTCAATTCAACTATTGTAATAGATGGTGATGCTGAGATTCATAGAGATGAAGTAGATAGTTTCTTTGAATCAATGAGGATAACAGAGTCATTTCTTATAATTATGTTAGTCATAAGAAGTAAAAAGTTAAAAACAGTGTTTAGCACATAGCAGACAGTTGTCAAGCATTAGCTAAGAGGAGGAGTAGTAGTGATGGTAGTAGAAGAAGTGACAGTAATGACACTAGTAGTAATGGTGGTAGTAATATTAGTGGTGGTATTATTATTATATCATAAAATTGCTAAATTTATTAAATACAAATGCTTCATGGTAAATTTGATAATAGATACCATATTACATCTACTATATCTAGGACTTTTAAAAAGACAATAGATGTGATATCAATGATAAATACAGACTTGAAGAGTCTATAAGAAGTTAATAAACAGAAATCAGTATGAGTAGATCCCTAGAAGTTAGAATCCAATTTTACTATATGTAGTAGATTTTCATTAGTCAATTTAAGAATGTTATTATAGTTACTATATGATTATTTGGTATTCTAGTATAAATAATTTCCCTACTAGAGAAATGTATTTTAATGACTGCGAATCATAATACATATTGTATACCAAATATCATAAATAAACGAATTTCTCCAAACTTTAAAAAGACAATTTAGCCTTTGCTTAGTAGTATTTAATGAATTTGGCAAGATAAGAAGAGGTTTAATTCCTTTTCAATGCAATGACTGAATTTCCATTTTGAACTAGACTAATGATTCCTAGGCCTTAAGGGAAATGCACAGTAAAATTTTAATTTGTTGACACAAATTTTGGAATATAATATGCTATTTTTGGAATAGTATAAACTTAGTGGATTTCCCTCAACTGGAGTCATTCTTCCTTGTTTAGGGAGGCATTATCCAGGTTGTCAATTTCCTCTCCCTTTCTTTGCCTCTCCTTCCCACTCTTTAACTCTTTTACTTAAGTCTTGCTTTGTGATCCTTCCATAGAAGAGTAAGCAGAGAAGGGAAAGAAGCTGAAATTTGCAATAGCCATTCATGCTGCTGTTTACTATTTTATGGTAAATTTAAGGAAGAGGTGGGAATTCTTGGCTAAAGTTTTTAATTTTCTTGGCTTTGATATGAACTAGTCTCATTCTTTACATCTGTAGCTTATCAAATGTCTACCCATTGTTGGCATGTTAATTTTATTTGTGGACAATATTTCTCCATTCTCTCCCTTTTGTCTCCATCCCTACTTACCCTACCTTATTTCAGTCCTCATCACCACTACCTGGGTGAGAGCAGTCTCCTTTTACACAGTCTCCTTGTTTCCAGTCTTACTCCAAGTCCCCTTTAATCTATTTCAACAGCAAGAGTGATCTACCGAATTGAAATCAGACCAGATTATTTCCCTGCTTATCTTTTAATACTTCCATAACCTACAGCTACTCTTTTACCTGGTTAGAAATGTCCTTTATAATTTACCTTCTAGTTTCTTTTTGCATCATCTCCCACCTTTCACTTCATAAAGCTCAAAGCCATAGTGATAACAAACTATACAGTTGCCCATGTTTGAGGCTTCTTGCCTCCATACCTATGCTCACTGATATCTCTGTCTAGAATGGCCAAAGCACTCAGGTACTCTCATGCCCTTTCTTGGCTTACTGATTCTTCAAGACTCAGGTTTAGGTGTCAGCATCAGAAAGCATTCCTCAACCATCCACCCTGCCAATACCACCAAGTTGAACTAACTACCCTCTCTCTATATATACATATGTAATGTGCATCATTGCTCTTACCACTTTGTCTTGAAATTTGTTGGTTGTTTGTGCTAGTCCTCTGAAATGTACATCTTTCAAGGACAAAGACTGACTTTTATTTATCTTCTAACCTCAGAATGTAACACTGTTCTTGGCAAAGAGTAAACATTTCATATACAAATATATATATGTTAGATTATATATATATATCTATCTCTAGGTGTATTTTATGAAATTTTGAGGAAACTAAGAATATTCATGTTTCTAAATCTGAAGTGTAGATCTCACTTATTATATATAATTACAAAGAGAAATAGTATAAACATCTTACCTTGTGGATCGCACACAGTATTTGATTCTTAGTTTGTCATTTGTTTTCAGCAGTTCCAGGCCATCCCTGAGACTATTTCTACTATTATGGAAAATATCTCCAACATGATGTTAACTTGTTCATCATATTGAACTTGTTAAACTTACTTCTGCTTTGAAGCTCAACTGCAAGTTGTCTTTCAAGGTTTTCTCTAATTTCTCTCTCTCTATACAGCTCCATTCTCAGTTCCTTTTTTTCCTGTTGAATCTGCTTCTCCTGGATGCGAGCATTATCCAAAGCCACTTTCAGTAGACCCTGTCAAAGGACAGCAAATGACATGCAGTTCATCTTATCTGTTTTAATTTTTCAAATATGAAATAATTTATGTAGGTGCTAATGTCTTGTATTACATTTATTTTGTTTATAGAAATATTGTTGACCTGAATGTTGGTCAACAGAGTCTCCACAGAGGACAGGCTATCAGCAAAAATGAATGGTCCAGGGAATCCAGGAGGCAATGCCTGCCCAGGAGTCAGTTGGATCTTGTCCAAGGGTGACTTCATCATTGGAATTTGAACGGGTACCTCTTCTGCAAAAAAACAAAATTAATATCAGAAAGTTCACAAACTAATAGCTCATGTTTTTCACTATGTTTTTTTGACCTCTATGGCATCTATAAAGATTTCTAAAATGAAATGGTGGAAAACACATAATTGGAAGTCACACCGATTTCTCAGCTGACTTTAATTTCTCAAAATAAGTGTTTCTGTAAAGAATCAGTGAAAATGAAACAGCATTTACTGCCAAAGAGGCATACAATTTGGAGAAACAAATTTAAGATATGTTTATTAATAACTATAAATTAAATAATCAGATCACTTCCTGATAAAGCATACATTGCTTTTTTATTTTTTCTCTTTAAATCTAGCTATCTATATATATCTATCTATCATTTCCATTTTAACACTTTTATTGAGGTATAAATTATATATAGTAAAATTCAACTATTTAATGGTATGTTTCAATGATTTTTGTAAATTTATAGAACTGTGCAACCATCTCCAAAAATCTATTTTAGAACATCTCAATCACCCTCAAAGTACCCCTTAATGCCCATTTACAATTAATCTCCTTCCCCACCTCCAGCCCCAGGAAATCACCAGTCTCTCTGCTGTCTCTATAGGATTGCCTTTTCTGGACATTCACATAAAGAGAATCATACAGTAAGTGGTCTTTTGTGTTTGGCTTCTTTCACTTAGCATAATGTTTCTGAGGTTCATCCATGTCATGTCATGTCATGTATCAGTGGTTTATTCCTTTTTATTGTTGAAAAGTTTTCCATTGCATGGATGTATTGCTTTTTGTTTAACCATTCACTAGTTTGGCATTTGGCTTGTTTCCAGTGTTACCTTTTTTTTTTGAAGAATATTTCTTATGGAAAAAAAATTACTTATAGTGCAAAAATACAAAGTTTATCTTTTCATTCCTTTTTACATTAACTTCTTCTACACTCTCATTACTTTAATGAGATTCCCTCTTAGCTTCAGATGAAGAGACAGTAATAGAATATTTGTCTAATAAGATATTTCAGATTTGTTTTGCAGAGATCTATCTAATTACAAAAGGAAATTCCTCCTACTCTGAGAAGCTAACTACTTGGCTATCTACTTCAATTCTAGTTGAAATTCTTTTTTATGTGAGATGTATGAACCAGATAACAAAGTTTCCTCTGCAATTAGGAATTTAGGCTTTTGTTTGACATATGTAAAAATAAACTGCTACAAAGAGGTAATCTTGGAATGTAGCCAAACAAACACTGGTATTCTTAAATGGCTTCAATAGCAGGGCACAATGACTTGAATCGTAGCACCGTAGACAAAATTACTCTAGTCACTTTATTTCAGTAACTGAGCACAAGCAAAGTATGCAGATATGTATTTCTCTGGTCATAAAAATTTTCAGTGACCCCAGGTAGTATGAGACTCATTCAAGAATAAAACTAGGATTGAATCCACACCTAACTGATTTTCACATGGCTTGAAAACAAAAATCTAGCCATTGGTTCTGGTTCCTGGAGGGATAGGAATATGGATTTTCATACAGTTAGACCTCGTTTGTCACTAGCAAGCAATCTATATATGTAGTGTGCAGAGTCTTGAACCCCATTGATTTCACAGTCATCACGGTTTGCTGTGGGATTTCTTGTGTGGGAAGCTGAGGCATACAATTGCGGGAACTTCTGTGCGATTACTTAATGGAATAGCATTATCTCTGAACAAAAGGCTCTTAATATAGATCACCTTTACAAATTCTAATTTTCTAAAACCTATAGGGATAAAAGATGCTAATGATTATTTTAGAGAATCAACAGTTTCACATTATTTGATTCCAAAATATTATAGAGTATGTACTTATTGGTCTTAAGGAATTCAATAGTGTGATAAAACAGCCTGCTAATTTTCTTTTCGCACGGGAAACAGAAACTGTGATGAGCATATTCCCAGGAATTGTTCTGTAGTAAAACTTAAAAATAATATTTTGATCATAAATGCCTACTGCATGTGTTTTAAAGAACTCACTTGTAAAATTAAGCCTAACCTCTTAGAGAACATGTCTTCCTTTCTTCCTTCCTCACTCCCTCCTTCCCTCCCTCCTTTCCTTCCTTCCTTTCCTCCTTCCTTCCTTCCTTCCTTCTCTCCTTCCTTCCTTCCTTCCTTTCTTTTCAGTAGTAGTTTTGGAAGAAGCAAAGTATTCTAGAGGGAAAGAGCACAAATTTTGATTCATTTAAACTACAAGGTTAGAACATTGGAAATATCTCATTACAGCTCTAAATCTTAAAATATGTCTTAGACAGCAGCTCTAATGTTTCTGAGGTATATTTCTTAACAGCTAACCAAGCAATATCATGCTTTATTGTCATTGCTTGAAGTCTGTATTTAGCTAATATTTTGTCTTCCACACATGAGTGCATTCAGTGGATAGGATGACTTCATAATGATCTACCAATATTGTTAATAATTGAGGAGTTTCTACACCTTTCAATTGATGTTTATAAATCATGAAGTATGAATTTATGTAGCCTGGAAAATCTGTTTTTACAAAGTGAACTGCTACAAAGTTAGAATACTGACTTCAGGCTGATTGAGATATAATATAATGTTTCCCCTGAATAAATATTTTGTATGGGGGAAAGTTCTTAAAATTATGGATTCCTCATTATGTATCACTTTACACACATGTGTAACATCAGTGGTAAGAAACTGAGGGATATTCTACAAACAAAATACCTGAAAAGGAAAGCGATACATTCATTATGCATAAAACAGAATTAGAACAACTTTAAAATCACCAGAAGTCTTCTATTTGGAGATGAAAGAAATGCCATTAAATTGGCTGAAGGGAAAATTAGTATTGACTATAAAGACAGGTTGCATGGTCTATGGTTTGTAATGTTGCTGTACAGTAGATTGAAGTTTCAAAATAGTATTACTCTTCTTTAAAGAGATAGACACAGCTGAATTAGGTGCTGCTTGCTGAAGTGAGGATCAAATGCAAAAAGAATCATATTTCATCAGGCCCAGTCAACACCAGGAAAATAAATAGAAATATAAGAGGTATGCAGGCAATGATTCATTTTGATAATCTGGCCCAAGAGAGACACATAGAGACAGCACACAGATCTAAGCTTCCACCAAAAGACAAATAGGACACAGAGGGTGGGAATTGGGATGACAGTATAGCAGAGGTCACATCGATTTTCAGCAGCAGTTTTCACACAGATGAGATAACCCTGGACTCTATTTGGCCCATTGTTCATATCCTACCTGTCCCACAAGCAATAAATTTCCTAGTCCTAGAAAAGGGCAGTAAAGAAGAAGGATTCTACTTATGACTTCTGATGATTAAGTTTCTGTGCAAACCAAACACGCTTTTCCAGACCAAGGTCACATTGCGTGTTAAGGTCCAAAATAGCCAAAAACGAATTGAAGCGTATTATGTTTTGGTGTATATAAGTGGAAACTGTCAAACCATTCATCATTTTTTTCTGATTTAAATCACATGCTACAAAAATGAATGATAAATGCATTAGGAATCTATTTCAATCATGTAATAGGTCATCACATCCGAATGGCACCCACATTTTCTTCAGAGTTTGAACAGATACACTGTTATGTATGGAGGAATTTATTAGGTAGGCTTGAGAAATCCTAATTGGTAATGAAATTAAATATGGGCAAGTCCTAGAAATCTAGATTGTCAGTGAAATAAGAGCATCTCTTTGTACTCCAGGAGAAAAGGGTTTTGATTGAGCACTTTGATTTAAAAGGCTAGTGTTCAAAATACATACTTTAAAATCTTTATAAACACATATGGTGCAGTGGTATAAACTAGAAGATAAAGGTAGAACAATTGCTATCTAGCTGAGGATACAAGCAACCTCTTAATTTGTTGATGCAAAGTAGAGACCACTTTTATTGAATCTGTTTGTTAAACCTGCCATACTTTGTAACAGCACTTGGAAATTAATTTAAAGAACAAGCTCTTAATTTTAATTTCTTACTCAGGGCCCAGAAGAAGAGATGTAAAAGTTGACAGGAACTTTATTTGTAGAAAAAAAAAGATAAACGTATAGCAAATGCTTAGAATGGAAAAGACCTCCTAAAAATTCAAGTCAAGGATGCTAGAGACTTTCTATATGACTTGAGTGGTTATTTTCCCACTTTTTTATGGGGTTAAGTGTTTCCTCTTTCCTCTGGGCTTTGAGGATTGTGATACAGGAATAGAAACTGAGCAGAGCTGACTCACTCAGCAGTGGAAAAATGCAGCCACCTACCAGGTCATCTGTTTTCATTCTTTAACAAGTAAATTCAATTTCATTATCTGATTTGAGAGCTTTCCCCTAAATACAACTGGCCCAAGGGACTCGCCTTTGTTGGTGTCATTAGTATTACATTCGGCACAAGCAAGACACCTGCTTCCCTCTTCCAAACTAAGGAACAATAACAACAACAAAATGACCAACTGCTGTGCAATGATCTGACGTGCATGAATATGAGGAAGTGTTCATGGTCTGCGTTGAACAATGAGTCAAGTGTTGCCATCATCAAATGTTGGAAAAGGAAAAACTTGATCCCGAAATTGTTAACATTTCTTCAGGGAGGCAAAAAAGAAACAGTGCTCCTAAATGCAAGCAGAAAACTAGTAGCAAAGGAGTGAAGGGTCACCAGTCTGAGCAAGTGAGACAGAATACTTCTAAAACAAATTATGGCTCCATTTTGCTCTTGAACCTTAGATTAGCAACTTGGAAACACAGGCTCCTTTATAAATTACGAATTATAAATAAATCATCTTTCAGATAAAATAGTACGCAGATAACAAATACTACCTCCAGTGAAGGGTTTGAAGAAGTATGCTACCCAGCCCCTGTTATTAAGAAGCTGACACATTATTTTGGGAAAAAGTCAACAAGTTACAGAACAGTACAGTTAGGCTTGAAATCACGTGGCATAGATTGTTAAATGACTCTAAGAGTTCCAAGAAGGAGAGATGACTATGGTCTGGAGTCAGCACTCAAACTAATCTATTCAT